AGACAAATTAAATAAAGGGGTATAAACTGTCAAATGTGTGATAGTTGAGTTTTGGGCTAGGAAACCTAATGGACTAAGGGGGGAACGAAATTATGATGAAGGATCATCATATTTTCGTCCAAGGCCTCATTCCAGAAGGTTCCTTGGGCTGCTTGGTGGCTAAGCTGTCCATTAGGGTTTTGACTGAAACCCTAGCACCCTATGGTATAAATACATACCCTATGCTTCAATTTAAGGCCACTTGATTCCAAGGGAACCCTAGGGCCGAAATTAGCATTATCCTTCCTCTCTCTCTTAATTGCCTTCTTGCTTCAAGGTGTTTGTGAGCCATTAGAGGCACTACAATTGTGGTGCTTGCTTTCAAGAGTTCAAGAGATCAAGGAAACTAGTTGTTATTGCTATATAACAACAAAGGTATGTCTACTACACTTCTATGTAAATTTCGAAAATTATAGAAGCATCCCAGGGTTTATTTTGTGTTCATATAGTTGTATGTCTTTTAGTGAAAACATAGATCCAATATAGGGTTGTATGCACACATAGGATTGTTTGTATAAAACCTAACAGATAGTACACCTAACCCCATAATGATAATGTTTCCAAATCTTGAGGGAAAATACCAGCGTCCCTAACTCAAAATCATGTGTAGGATAATTAGCTTCATGTGGCTTTAGATGCCTCAAAGCGTAAGTAATCACAAGCCTTATCTGCATTAGAACAGCTCCCAAACCCAATATAGAGGTGTAATAGTAAATCCACACCCTCAGGAAGCATGAGAATCGGGTCCTAGCATAATCTCTGCCACAGAGTCTCAAAAGCCAACTACTGATCAAGCCCTCATTGAAAAGTAACCTTCTTCTTCGTCAAGAAGGGTCAAAGGCACTACAATTTTGGAGGAATCCTGGATAAATCTCCGATAATACCCTGCAAGACCCAAGAAGCTCTGAATATCAAATGGGGTTTTCGGAATCTGCCATCGCATCACAACCTCGATCTTGGCCCGATCGACCAATATACCCTCCTGGTTGAGGATGTTCCCCAAGAACTGCACCTCGCACAACCATAACTAACATTTGAAGAATCTGTCAAACAACCTCTCCTTTATCAAGGTCTCCAACACCTCTCACATTTGGAGAATTTGGCATATACCCTACTGGTTGAACTCTTATAGCTGGAAGTTTGTTACATTGGGATATCATCTTTTCTCATTGGTTGCTTTAGAATTTTTTTCTGCTACCTATACTGTAACACCGGATTCCTGGTACGATTCCTGTTTATGTATTTTTCTCATTTTGCCTTGGACTCGACGAGTTAGAGGCCCGACTCGCCAAGTAGGAGCGATTTTAGCACGGGATTTAAGTGAGGGACTCGGCGAGTCGGGTCCCAGACTCGGCGAGTCCATGCTGGATGAGTAAAACCCTAACTAGGGTTTTTGCACCCTATTTAAACACTCTAACTCGGCCTCCCTTGTTCCTAACACTTCTAGAGAGCTGTAGAGCCAAACCCTAGCCCCCATATTGTTATTGTGAGTGATTTTTTGGCTTGGTGAAGGAAGTTTGGAGCTTAGAAGAAGAAGGAGGAGGTTGAAGAGTGCAAGGAGGGGAAGTAGATCCGAAACCTACACTGTGAGAAGCTTCCATTCAGGTAGAAAAAGTTCCTACCTTGATCACTAGTTCATTAGATCCCCTTTTTGTCCCTAATTGATGGTTTTCAAGCCCTAAAACCTCAAACCCCATGTAGTTATGCTCTATGTTCTGAAAGGACTTCAGATATGGACATTATGGACACCTTAGAAGTGTAAAGTCTCTGTGGTTGAAGTGATTGAGGTTGCTATTGAGTGTATGACCTCATACAGAGCTTGGAATTGCCTTTTGGAGCTCATAGGGCCATGCATGCATGTAAAGTTTGCAACTTTACGTGATAAGCATACCTTAGGAGCTTAGATCTATGGTTTGGAACCGTTGCATGTCTCAAATTTGGTCTATATGGGAGGAGGGTTGAAGGGACTCGGCGAGTTCCAAAGTGGACTTGACGAGTTCTATGAAGATGGTCTTAGACTCGACGAGTTGGATGAGCAACTCGGTGAGTCCTTTGAAGATTGCCTGGAACTCGACGAGTTGTTCTTCAAACTTGGCGAGTCATACGAACTGTTACTGAGTTAAGAGGGGTTTAAGTGTAGAAGGTCCAACCCTTCTTAGCTGCACACGGGATGAGCAATTTAATGTGTAGCAATAGTCCCAGAAACCCAAATCCTCAAGATGGATGCTTTGGTGAGGATTTGGAAGTGAGTAGGAGAGGGACTCGGCGAGTCTGTGCCATGACTCGGCGAGTCCAGTCAACTGGAAGTTGACTTTGACCAAGGAGTTGACCTTGGACCAGGGGTAGGTCAATCATTTGACCTAAAGGTATTTAGGAGTGACTAATCTATGCTTATGGATTTATAGCCGGAGGATTGCTGGTGCAGTAGTCAGTTGTCTAGCAAGCAGACTCTTAGCAGCTACTTTTCGAGGTGAGTTACCTTCCAGTAGCGGTGGGTCTACGGCCACAATGTCGGCCCACCAGTAGGAGTTGTATGTTAGATGATTGTCTTTGTGATATCATCTAGGTTTGCTACTAACTGATATGTTAAATGCTGGCATGATATGTTATATGTGATAGTAGTAGAGTTCGGTTGTTAGGACCGAAGGGTAGGTCAGGCACCTCAGATATGTCTGACAGTATTTGATGGTATGTTTGTATGCTGGCATGATATGTTATATGTGATAGAGGTAGTAGGAGGGGAATAGTCCCCAAGTGCGGTTGTTAGGACTGACGGGTAGGTCAGCACCCCAGAATAGCCTGACATGGGTAGGTCAGCACCCCAGAATGACTTGATACGGGTAGAACGGCACCCCAGAATGGCCGCATGGGTAGGTCGGCACCCAGAATGGCCGTACCGGGTAGGTCGGGCACCCCAGAATTTCCCGGAAGTATGTATGCTATATGATTGTATGGTATGTGGTACGATGGGGGAACTCACTAAACTTTATGCTTACAGTTTTGGTTTCAGGTACCTCTTCAGCGAAGGGGAAAGAGCTGGCGCGGTAGCGACACATCATACACACACTCCCGTTTTCCGCATCATGAGATATTCTGGGATTTGTACTCTGACATTATTATGATTTATATTTTGGGTTGTAGACACGAAATATGTTTTAAGAAATGATATGGTCGAATGTTGTTTATTTACAAATGTTTTACAAAGTGTTTAATTGAAAATGAAATTTTTGGACTTGAAAAATTGGGTCGTTACATATACATTCTGGTGATCTGCTATTTCCTTATTATCAAACCTTTTCTGCTACTGGTGCTGGTTTAAAAGTGTTATGTGACACGTTTTTGATGTTGATTTCTCTTTGGAGTTTTGATGGTGTTCTCGTGTCTCTCAGTTATCATATTTGGTGGGATATTACTAGCATCTCAACTTTGATGTCAGTGCTGCTGTTGAAGCTTTTTAAAAGAAGTAATCTTTTGATGCTACAACCGAATGTTTTCAATTGCCATACAATTTCTGATGCTCTTATTGTTAGTTGATTTTGGTACTTTTATGACTAGCATGGTGTATACATATATGTATGATTGTCTTTACCTTTATGACTACAAACTCTTTGTATTTTTGTGCAACTTCCCACTGGCTTTTTTGTTTTATATATTTTTGCTTGCCGTTAAAAAAAATCAATTTAAAAGCAATCAAGCAAGTATTTGAGCTCAAAGTACCATTTTAAAAAGTAACATTTAGTATATACTATAACAAAAGGCCAAGTGTGATCATATGTGTTGGCAAAGAAAAAAGAAAGTCAGATAAAAAAAAGAAAAGAAAAAGAAAGTCAGATAAAAAAAAAGAAAAAGAGAAAGAAAAGAAAATTTTATTTTGTTTTCTCAATTCGAGTTGAAAAAAAAAATTATAATTTTTGTTCATTTATCCTTAAATCCTTCCGATTAGAAAGTTAGAATGAAAAATAATCATTTCATTTTCTACTTCATACCTTAATTCAAATCAAAAACACAAATTTCTTTTAATTTCTTCTTACTTCCATCCATTTACCTCCTTAATTTTACTTCCACCCATTTGCCTTTTTAGTTTTGACAAAATTGTAAAAATGGTCCCCGTGGTATGTATTTTTTTCGAGATTTGGTCCAAACTACAAAACTTTTGGATTGGTGGTTATTTTAAACTAGTTTGTTTGTGGTTTTGGTTCCTCGGAAAACTGAAAAGACTAAAATGCTATTTGACACATTTTTATCTTATTTCTATTTAATTTAACATTTTGTTAATAAAATATATAGGACCCACTTCTCTCTCTCTCTCTCTCTCTCTATATATATATATATATATATATATATATATATATATATATATATATATATATATATATCATTCTCTAGGGGTGAGCATATTAAGCGACAAACCGAACCATAACTGAATTAACCGATATAACCAAACCAGTTTAACTGAACAATTACTAAAAGATATGGTATAGTTTCTAATTTTGATTAAACAAAATACATATGGTTCGGTTATGGTTTTCATCGAAAACCGAACCATTATAAACCGAAGTGAACCGATAATATTAATAAATGTTTTGAATATAATACAATATTAAACATATGGTAACTAATTTTATTAAAAATTGAAAATTTAAAGGGTTGTTATTTGGAGTTAGATAGGATAAATAATCTTTTATCAAGACAATTATATATACACAATCATTCACATTTTATAACGATAGACTTTGTGTTTCTCAATTTTTATAGAAAAATATTTTTATTTTTATGTTATCTTGGACTATTTTGGTTAACCAATATTAACCATTAATCATAACTTTTAACCGACTAAAAACCGTTATCCAAAACCAATACTAACCGTTACCCAATGACTATCGAAATACATTAACCAATTGTAATGGTTATGATTTAGTTTTGATCAATAACTGAACCAAACCGCCCCATACACACCCTTATCATTCTCCCATAAACACACACACACCTTTGTCTTTTTCCCTCAAATCCAAAACATCGAACCCCCTCTCTATTAGAACTAGAATCTGCCATCTGCTCCCATTACCATCATCACCTCCCACCACCACCACCATTGGATGCCATCGACCAAGACCCACATATCCACTGCCACCCTTCCTGTTCACAACCTTAAATTTGATTTGGGGAAAAGAACTCCCACCCTTTTATTTCAATTGTTTAATAGTAAAATAAACATATCCTGCATCCATTGTCATTCCCTTCACCTTTCCTCCACCACCAGAAAAAACCACACCATATCTCACGAGAAAATAACCCTCAATTTTGGAAGAATGTTTCAGTGAATTACGAAATAACGATGTCGTTTCCAACTTTGTAGCGATTACCACCTCTAATTTTCCTGAAAAACGGAGGAAAACACCCATTTATGACATATATAAACAGAAATTTACGGGGGAGGATGAATGGTGGAGATGAAATTAGAAGCTATCTAACCACAAAAACTAGAAATCAAAAACCTAAATTGATTATTAACCATGTATATAAACCAGAAATCAAAATTTTAAATCGAATATTACCGGAGGTGGAGATGAAATCAGCTTGGCAGGAGGACGACGATGGCAGGCGGAGGCTTATTCATCTTTTGCTGATGTGATGTAGGGGTGGGAGGTTGTCTTCTGTAACATTAGAAACCATTCACATTTTTCCTCTCTAACTGGATCGATCCCACATGAGCTCAAGATGGTTGGCAAAGGCTTGGGTAAAAAGAAAATGGTGAAGAACGTAGGGCCTCGTTTTTTTGCAAATGGGATCACAAATCAGGTGTAGGTGTGTTTGCATGAGAGAGAGAGATATGGTGGACCCATTTTGCTATTAGTTTATTTGAAAAGAAAATAAAAAAGAAATTAAATAAGGGTATATTAATCATTTCAAAATTTGAAATGATTATATCTAGGGATAATGACTTGAAAGGGTAATGAACTTTCGACTTTTGTCACATTTAGTCACTAAACTTTTTTTTGTTATCTATTTGCCATTAAACTATTGAAACTGTTCACATTTTACCCTTATGACCGGCTGTTAACGGTCATAAGGGTAAAATGTGAACAGTTTCAATAGTATAGTGGCAAATAGATAATGAAAAAAAGTTTAGTGACTAAATGTGAACAAAATCGAAAGTTCATTTCCCTCTAAAAAGTTCAATGACTAAATGTGAACAAACTTCTTATTGTATTATGTTTTAGCAAAATTATTTATTTTTGTTTAATTATAGCAACATTTGTTGATGAAAAAATCTATGAAATAAAAAAACAAAATGTAACATCCGGATTTCCAGGTATCATCATTTAAGTATTTTTCTTTTGAGTTAAGAAGAGAGACTCGACGAGTTGACGCCTCAACTCGTTGAGTAAGGTCGCGACTGATGACTCGGATTAATAAATGGACGCGACGAGTCAGTGAGGTGACTCGACGAGTTCGCACTGTTGGCAGAAACCCTAAATCTTTGGGCTCGAGCCATATTTAAAGGCATTTATGGCCTTCAATTGCGACTACCTTTCCCATAAGTGAGAACCCTAGCGAGCTTGAGTGTGTAGAGTGAGACGAAGAGCTATCTTGAGCTTTTTTGGTGTGATAGATCTGGACCCTTCTAGGTTCAGAGAGCCGAGAATATGAAGCTTTAGTAGAGTAAACCTTGGGGTTCAAAGTTAGGAAGCATTTATGGTATATATAGTTACTTTCATCTTACACATAGATATGAAGTATTTTATATAAATTACGTGCTATGTGTGTATATTATTTGAATATTTTGTTGTCTATACTGGATGAACGATTTTATACATGTTTTAAAAGATTTAAACGGTATATTTATTTTATATCTACAAATATGTTGCGGATGAAACATGGGTAGATGAAATAGTTGGTGTGTGATAAAATAAAATGATGAGAGATAGGTGATGATAGAAAGGTGGTGATAATTAGGTAAATAGATGATGATGAATATGTGATGTAGGATGAAAGGAGATACCATAACCTTTTACCAGCAATGTGACGATGTAGTCATTTACCAGAGTATAGATGGCGACCACGAACTATTCTAGCCAACCCAGTGGAAACACCAGCAGACCCATAACCTGTAGGTGATGAATTACGAGTTCATGCGATGTTGAAACTACGTATTCATGTGGTGATACTCTAACCACTTACTATGAATTACGATTTCAGACGATGTTGTAACTACATATTCATGGGATGTCACAAATTTCGCATGCCAAACCAATGGTCATAATTCATATCAGTGAGAATGGTTCATTTTTTTGTAAAACCAAAATCAGATTGGAAATTTTGATTTTTTATTTTGGAAAATGTCAAACCATTGGTTTTTTATTTCGGTTTTGGTTTTTTGTTTTTTTTTATTAAATATATTTTCAGGGTTTTGTTTTGTTTTTTTTTATTTCATAGATTTCTTCATCAACAAATGTTGTTACAATTTAACAAAAATAAATAATTTGCTAAAACATAATACAAGATGAGGTTTGTTCACATTTAGTCATTGAACTTTTTAGAGGGAAACGAACTTTCGATTTTGTTCATATTTAATCACTAATTTTTTTTTCGTTATCTGTTTGCCATTGAACTATAGAAACTGTTCACATTTTACCCTTATGACCGGCAACAGCCGGTCATAAGGGTAAAATGTGAAGAGTTTCAATAGTTCAATGACAAATAGATAACGAAAAAAAGTTTAGTAACTAAATGTGACAAAAGTCGAAAGTTTGTTACCCTTTTAAGTCATTATCCCTTATATCTACATACAAACATGATTAAAATGATCACCAATCCAAAACTTTTATGGTTTAGACCAAATCTCGGAAAAAATTACATACCTTAAAGACCATATTTGCACTTTTGTCTTTAGTTTTCAAATGCTTTTATTTTCCAAAACTAAATTGAATTTCCACCCTCAAATACTTCCAATTATTCTCAAAAGCTTTTCACGAATCAAATGGGCCAAACTTTATTAGTTTTTAAAAAGGGTAAATGATACAAAAGTCACTACCTTTTTTTTAATCCGATTTTGACAAAGTGTTTTTTCTGTTACATTTAAATCACTATGTTTTCAATTTGTTGCAATTCTAAACAGACCACCGGTTTGCTTCAAGGTCATCCGGTTTGCTTCAAGGTCATTGCTGATGTGACATGCCGACGTGTCAGAAGCAAAAAAAATATGGTGCAAAAGTCAGTATGTTTTTTTTTTTTTTTTTTTTTTTTTTTTTTTTTTTTTTTTTTTTTTTCAATTTTGACAATAAGTTTTCAAACTTTTATAACTTCGACACTAAGTTTTTGATATTCTCCAATTTGCAACATAAATGAAATATACATATCCAATTTCTACCCCCATTAATGAAAATATTTGTTTATATATAGTTTTTGTTTATCCTATATTTGTAAATAAGTTTTGAATTATAGTACCTTAATTTGTCAAAATATATATATATATATATATATATATATATATATATATATATATATATATATATATATGTAATGTTTATTTCACTTATTGATTGATGCAATATTTTTACTTGTTTTCATAACTCAAAACCATGCTTGTTCTTTGGTTGTAAAATCATTCTTAGTGCATGTTTGTTGACTCAAATTAAACCATAAATGCCTTTAATTTGATCTTAAAATAGAAAGAGAGAATCGGGAGCAAATAAAAAGAAAGAAAAAGACAATAAACGACCAACTTATGCTTTGCTGGCAGCATAGATCGCATAAAAAGGATGTAAAGATCCAACAATAGTAGTACCTGAAGCAATATTAACAATGACAACTCTTGTACTCTCAACCATTCCTTAAATCACAACTCTTGTTACCAAACTCTATCACATTCATCCAAACTTCTTATTCAACCTCAGGAAAAAACCTAGATGCAGGATAAGTCACCCCGATATTATTCACCACCCACATCCAGTTGTTCACCATAAATCATCTTCTGCATCTCTTTAACTCTGGCCACCATATTCTTGCTGGAAAAATCTACAATGAAAAGCTTGATCTTGGTGGTTGGGTTCACTGATACAATCTCATCACAAACATCTTTATTATATTATTGGGTAAATGGAGCAATTATATATTTGTAAAGAGAAAGAAAACCAAATACAAAAAATAAGGCAATTCTGTCTTTGCATATATTTCTTTCATTTATATTCTTTTTTAACGTATGTTATATTATATTATAGGGTAAAAGGAGCAATTATGTATTTACATATGTCTTGCATTTATGTTGCAAATTAGACAAAATCGAAAACTTAATATCAAAATTGGAAAATATTAAAAACTTAGTGTTAAAATCGTAAAATAATAATAATAATAATAAATAACATAATGCTTTTTGCGTCATTTTTTTTGCTTTGAGCACATCATTTTGCCACATCAGCATTGACAATCGGGTGAATTAAAACAAACTTATCATCTGATCAAAATTGCAACACAATGAAAACATAATGACTTAAATGTAATAGAAAAAAACTGGTGTTAAAATCAAAAAAATGGAAAAGTTAGTGATTTTTACGCCATTTACCCTTCTTAAAAACTTATTTGTGTATAATGAATTTATAATTTTCGTTTTAATTTTATTTCATAACTTTTATTAAGTTATATTACGATATAAATCAAAAGATATCACCAAGATTATCTTATTTTTTATCGATAAAGTGATATAAATTCGTCTAAACCGGCAAATATCAAACATAATATAAGTCTTTCTAACAAAATTAAAAGAGTTCTAAATTTTACAATAAGTAGAAGTTTGCAATTGGCATTTCCCCTTTGTCGACCACCTGCAGTTTGAAACAATCTCCTTCCTTCAATCCATTTGCAACTCGAAAATCCTTCCAACCTTGTCCTATATAATAGAATTTTTTCTTATGGTTCTGTATCTCGAGAGACCATGTCCTTCCATCTTCGACATTTTTCAGAATCATTTGCTTCTTGTTGATTAATCCATTCAACCTCGCAAATTTTAGTGGTAGATACTATAATAATAACAAATCTTTGTAAGAAATTTCGTAAATTATCTCTTCCAGAAACCTCTTTTTTTCAAGGGAAACAATAATAATTACCAAATGTGAACGTCGTATGTTGCAGGACTTCAATTTCCCCATGAAGTAGGGCAGGTCATCTTCTTCATAAGGAATCCGTTCCTTTTGTTCAAGTTTTGCTTTTCTATAGGTATTAATCGGTTTGCTCTTTAGAACTGCGCATAAAATAAACAGATTTTTCATTTTTGACTTAAACATGAATCAATTCGAATAAATGAAACTTAAAATCGAAGATAAAGAAAATACAGTACGCGAAAAGTTGACGATGGGGGGATTGTCATTCTCATTCTCGATGAGTTCAAACTTGAATTCATCACCTTTCTTCAATCCATTGGCAACCCGAAAAGCTCTAAAACCACGTCCAATATAAATATGTTTTTCTTCTTTTTTGTTCAGCTGAACTTTCCATGATCGACCTTTATCATCTCTAAGAATCATTTCTCCAATTTTTAAACCATTTTGTACGGAAAATTTAACTGGAATATGTTGAAAAAAAAAACACTACAATATGTAAATGATTAAGATTGATATGTACAATTTAATTCGTTTTGCCATAAGATTTAGGAGTTCTAAAAGAGTAAAAGTCACCAGGGCTGATTTTTTGAAGCTACAAGACTTCAGAGTTGAAATAAAGTATGGATGATTGTTAAGAGTGGAACTAGTTGCTTTCTTTATTGTTGAATAAATCTCCTTCTTTACTTGAAAATTTTCTTGGTCTTGAGAATATGCATAATCGTTCCTCTTGCGCTTTTTGAGGTTCTTCGGCCCTTTCAGTCAATATTTCATACAAAATTGAAGCTCAAACTCAAAACATTCACCATTTGATATGCTAAGTATGAAACAAAAATGATAAAACCTTCAATGAGCTTACTTTGTGTGCAGATCGTACCAGATTCTGTGAGATGCTCTTCTACATCCATTTCGTCAAATAGATTTGGGTATTGTTTTTCACATGTAGATTGGTCAAACACCATGCTTTCTTGATGTTTGAACACAATAAAGTCAAACTCTTGGACTCCATTTTCTCTCATAAATCTCCTCCAACCATCACCAAAAATCCCGTCGTCAATGTTCACTGACCATTCGCGACGCCCACGTCTCAGTGTCACTTTCAAGCACCTCCCATGGTTCAGGTTCCTCAAGAAAGAACTTGGAATCGACTGCAAATGCATATACAACTTAATAAGTAGGTGAAAAGAACGGGAATGTACAAAGAATATACCGTAGGCTAAATTATGCGCATTGGATCCATTGATAGTTTGTAAATGGATAACGTACAAGTGAATGATGCATAAAAATGCTTACAGGGTTAAATTTGAAGCTTGGATGGATGAACTTGAAGAAATGAGTAGGAGGATCTGCCATGGCGGTTTTGCAGGAGATTTGGTGTGACGCACCCTCGATCGCATTTGCCTTACAATTAAAGAAGCTATATACCAAATTAATGCACATAATAAATAAGATGTTGAGTAAGTTCAAGTTTTGGTCCTTCGGTTTTGCCCAATCTTTCAATTTTAGTCCAATTTTTTATTTTTTTAATATGTTTGGTGTTTGTGGTTTCCAAATCTTGCACCGGAGGTCCCCGAGTGGTTAAAAACGAGCGCATTAGTTGTTGCTTTTTGAAATATGAGAATTTTCCCCTTATTCCACCCCCACCCCAAAGGGACCAAAACTATAACATTATTTTAGAAAAAACATCATAAATGGTCCCTATGGTTATTCAAAATCTGAAGTTTAGTTCCCGTGGTTTAAAAAACTCATAGATGATTCCTGTGCTTTCAAAAATTTTGATGATTGATCCTTATTACTAACTCCGTTAAGTTTTTTGTTCGTTAAATAAAGGAAATTTTCGTCATTTCACTGCCACAGGGACCATTTATGATGTTTTCACTTATTTAAAAAATAAAAATAAAATAATATGCAAAGGTCTCTCTCTCTCTCTCTCCAAATATATCATTTAATTTACTCCAATTCACAGATCCATCTCAAATGGGTGTTTCCCAAATCGATTCATAACACCCACTTCCCATTTCTTCGTCTTTAGCTACAATCATACATTTCACCACTATAAATTTGGAAGAAGATGACGAATCTTATCAATACAATGATGATGGAATGAAGAAGAAAACAATGAACAATTTGGAGAATAATAAGGCTGCAGACTCCGGTGGGTGTGCTGTTGAGCTAGTAAATGTCGAACATCACTCGGTTCACTCGTTGTTCAGATTCAAACTCTTTTCGCAAGGTGAGATTGTATCTATGAGCGTTAATTCGTCATCTGTTGCGGTTTTAATGTGTAGGGATTAAAAATAAAAACCTGATTTCGATCTGGGTTTACAAAACGCATATGGTTTGAAGATGAAATCAAAATCGACCCCCTTTCCAGATATGAAGCTTCAGAAGAAGAAGAATCAAGATTTTGATGTTTTTCTCATTCGACGGTAGAGGAAATTCGAAGAGGGTGGGACCCTGCTTTGCTGAGGGTATGAACTTGAAGGGTGTTTTGCCGGAATAATTTGAATCAATTGTCAATGCTTACGAATTTTGGTTTCAAAAGAATCAGTTCATCGGAGCTTTACCTTCGTTAAATGGGTTGTCGGATTTGAGGTGGGCGTATTTCGATTATGACCAATTTGATTCAGTTTCGTCGGATTTCTTCCATGGACTCGACAGTTTAAAGGTTTTATCTTTGGATAACAACCCTCTCAAAGCTACCACCGATTGGGCGATTTCGATTGATCTTCAGAATTCCGCCCAATTACAAAATCATTCATTAATGAGTTGTAATTTGACCTGACCTTTGACGGAATTTCTCAGACTTATGCAGTCTCTTGGGGATCTAAAATTGTTGATGAATCGGATTTCCGGTGGAATTCCGACGACATTCAACGAGTCGGGTGTAAGAATCTTTTGGGTAAATGGTCAATCTAGAGTCGGAATGAGTTGTTCCATTAATGTAATGGGAACCATGGCTTCACGAAAATCACTTTTCCGGCAAGATTCCTGATTCCATCGGCGATTTAATTGAACTCAAAGAATTCAACATCAATAGCAACGATCTTATTAAATTAATCCCCGGCATTTTGGCTTCTCTTACATTGGATAAATTGGATTTAAAAGTGAAAACATCATAAATGGTCCCTGTGGCAGTGAAATGACGAAAATGCTCTTCATTTAACGGATAAAACTTAACAGAGTTAGCAATAAAGACCAATCGTCAAAAGTTTTGAAAGCACAGGGACCATCTATGAGGTTTTTCAACCATGGGGACTAAACTTCAGATTTTAGGTAATCATAGGGACCATTTATAATGTTTTTTCTTCTTTTTATTTATTATTCTACCACCTCTTTTACTCTCCACCACTAAGCACCATCACTATTAGCCCCACCACTATTCACCATCACCACCATCCTCAATCACCATAAGCCTTACCACCATCCCCATCATCAATCACCACGATCACTAATACCAATTACAATTACCATTTGCCTCATCACTATCACTATCACTATCACTATCACTATCACTACCAGTCACCATTGTCACCACTGCCACCAACATCAATCATCGTCATCACCAACACTAATTGCCGTCACTACTATCATCAATTACCATCAGTCCCACCACCAATCACCATCAACCTTACCACTATCATCATCACTAGTCACCACCGTCACCAACTCCTTTCACCATCATCACTAGCAATTCAAAACATAAGCGAAATTCGACTAGTTTCAAGCTTGTACAAAAATGATTAACCAAACATTTTTTCTGATAAACAAGATTAATGGTTATGGTGATGATTCATGATGCTTCACTATTAACTCGCTAAGAACAACGATTGAGCAAAGATATTGCATAATAGATGGTGACCCATTTTGTTGGCATGAGTGGCCCCGTAAAAAATCAATTGTTTTGCTTGGAGAAATTGTATCGAGATTTATACAACATCGACACTTGTGTTAGTTGTAAAGCTGCAACCTCTTTGTTTAATATACACACACACGAAGACAAAAGGAAGAAAGAGATATTTCTTATGTTTAAATAAGCAATGAAAGAGAGGGGAAATACTTAAGTCTCTGCATGCTTTTATTCATATTAAGAAAGACTATATATATAGTCTTTGAAGTAACGTGCAAGCTGGAAAGTAGGCTTAAACTACTGCTACACCTAAAGACCTGCCACACCTGATGACCCTTTCTTCTAACCCATAGACTTGAACAAAACTACAATTTATAAATAATAAAACTATTAACTATAGCATAAAATATAAACTCATAAATACTTTATTAATCTCAATCTTCCAGCATCAAGATTATACCTAACAACTTGTTGCATTAGTGAGAAGGGTCATCGAGATACAAAACACCAACTTCCATTTATGTTGGGCCACGTAAGAAATAGCGGATCGTCTGCTAATAGCATACGCTTTTGCCGCTTCACTTTGGAACCTTATCGATTTGGCAAAATTTCCCCAAAACTATTAATTCCATCCTTTAATACTCGATGTTTTTCGAGAAATCAACGAACGAATAAAAAAACTTATGATGATCTTCCATTTGACATGTTGGATACTTTGGAAAACATGGAATAATAAAAGCTTCAACAAAAAGTCTCCTCCCCAAATATGATTTTTGAAGAAACTAAGGCAAATTATTTTATTTAACTTAACAATAGGTAGAATTAATTGATACTTTTATTTATGCAAGATGTGTTCGACAAAAATTGCTATTAACATTTAAACGTGTAAAATTAGTTAAAAACTAGCAGGTAAAAAATATGTAAAAACTCTAAAAAGTGAAAAGCTCCTAAACTAGCTTTTTTTTGTTTAAAATAAAAATTAAAAACTTGTGCTGCCAAACAAAGTTTGTTTGTTTGTTATTTATAGTTTTTTAAAAATTAAAAGCTTCCAAAAACTCTTATAAGCTCAATACCAAAAACGCCAAAGTCCGGACCAAAACACTCGGTGCTTATCCATTTATCCCCGTTCCTTGCATTCCCTATGTGATCTTATTGTACTAGCACTGCAACGCCTTGCTAGTCCATTTAAAAAAAAATAAAAATGCTATCTATAAATGTTTATCTTACTCGATTGAAAAAATTGCATACACTATATTATTGTTGGGTGTGATTATCTAGTAGGGGTGAGCAAAAAACCGTACCGCAACTAAAATTAACCGCAAAAAATGTATAAATCGTAACCGATTAATCACCGCAATAAAAATCGATGGTGAAGTTCTCTGTTTTTCAAAAACCACAAATTTGCAGTGTTGTGTGGTTATTAGTTTTCAAAAACCGCACCGCACCACATATATTATATATATTTTTTATAAATTATTAATATATTAAATATTTGAAATAAGACAAGTTTCATGGATGAAAGAAGGATAAATTTCTAAAAGACAAAAGTGTTGGTTTTTTCGTATGTTTAACTTTG